AATAAGACATCTAAAATATTATTGAGTACAATAGAGACAGATTTCGATGACGAGGAAACCACTTTGAGACTAATAATGCTTGGAGACAGCTTGAATTGGTAATGAAGAAAAACTTTATTACAAGTTTAACAAAACAGCAAATGTACAATGTTTCGACAAGGTTATGTCTCCAAGCATTATTAGAGACAGATTTAGTAACTGTATTTAAAGAATTGGTAATCAATCTGAACTTAACAAGATTCTTATGCAATTTTGGAATTGCATATAAAAATGGTAAGTTAGAACAAGGAGAGTCTGTATTTATATACAATTTTTAATGGCTTTCTTTAAACTAGTAATAATAGCATTTTTCCTTAAAGTACTTTTCATAAATGTACTTGTAGTATTAATTTCATTAATTAAAAGTTGTACGTATAATTTTTTTTACACACAAGCCAAAATTACAGCCAGCTCTATCAATCGGGGTAATAATAAATTATTCTTTAACTGATTTTATTTTTGAAGACACTAAAAGAAATATCTATTTTATCTTGAGATAAATTTAAAGTTTTTAATTGATTTTTATGGAATTACTAAAATATATTTTCCATTCAAAAAAGAAACATGGAGGATAGTAATATTTTTTTATTTATTTTAATAATATAATTGTCAATATTTTTCAAATCTTTTGAAATTTCATATTTATCTTTTTTAAATTATAAATTTAGTGCTTCTCTCTGATATTGATCTTAATTCCTTGTCTTTGATAACTTCTAAATTACATGTAATGATGCAATTATGAAAAATGTCCTTGAAATCACTATTACTACAGTTACAAGGCAATTTGTCAACTTCTGTTGGATTAAATTCTTAAAATAATTTTGTATAGTTAAAGAGGAGAGGTCCTATAGGCTTATTATATTTAAAACTAACTATAGGTTCAAATGGTTTAATTGGGAAAATGTTTTCTTTAACACTTGTATGGTTTAGGTAATGTAGAGATAAATCATTATATATTTTTGTTTAAAATTTATTACTATACAAGATTTTTCTTCTTTCTTTACTGAAAACTTTAATTGTTTGATTCTGTTTTAATCTAAATTTAATTAAATTTTTAATATGAATATGCTTAAATTCAAAATTTAACATATATTTTCACAAATATTGGTTTGTTATAAATTTTACCAAATTATCATATCTGTCAAGAGCAGAATCTAGATTTTTGTACAGAAAGTTTTCTATTTTTACCTTTACCCCTACATATATTTTGTTTATTAATATAAATATTTATATAAAATGTGTTTCTAATACAAACATTTGTACTTAAAGATTCAGCATTTCTATTTTGAAAATCCTGATTAAATCTATAAGGATAGTTTTTTTTCTTTCAAAATGAAGAATTATTCACTTTCTGTTAACAGACTCATGTTATATATTTTTTTCCTATATAGTAATTTTCGCATTATTAAATGAATGTTTGTTAAAATAATCTGTTTCAATCGAGTAAGAAAAACTCTTATTAGTTTGAGACCTATACAGGTTAATCCTTAAATGTAAAGGATTAGTTGTTTCTCCTATGTATTTAAGACCACATAAATCACAAGTTAATAAATCAATTACATTATCCATTTTACACAGTGGTATATCTTGCCATAAACATGTTTTGACCAGTCAACTCGGATGAGCAGCTTCTGGAGGAGGGTGATATGGCTGAGAAAGAGGCCTTCCAAAAATAGGAGGAGAAGGAGGAGCCAGTCACCAATGTAATAAATGGAAACAAAGTCCAAGACTGGAGGTGTAGTGAGCAACTGACTTATTTGAATACATATGGAGCTGATACAATGCAGATATGTAGAAATTAAAACTGTTACATCTGATCCCCGTGAATGAAGTAAAGAAGATATTAGTAGGATAGGGTTATCAAAATATGCTAAAAGGTGTCTGAGACATCGATCTTGGTCTTCCATAGTCCTGGGAAAAAGGGCCAGCAGAGAGAAAAAGTCCCTTCTATGTCAAACCGAGGTACCAATAGATAGTGATTGTAAGAAGAAAGGTTGATGCCAATCCCCAGTCTTTTTGGGGACAACAAAGAGACAAGAATAAAACACATGAGAAGGGCAAAGGACCCTTTTGTTGGGTCTCTTATCCAAAAGATCCAACACCATAGCCTCAAGATGCAGCAGACAATAAGGATCAGGAGGAGGAGAATAAGACAGAGAAGGAAGAGACAAAAAGTGAAGAGAAAGGCCATGTGTAAGAACTTTAATGGCCATGATCAACTACAAATGAGGTCCAGAAAGACCTGCTTGTATGTTGCACAATTACTGAACTCTTAATCTGTGTAATATAGGAGATAGTGTTGTTATAGATAAAAACCTTAACATTAGTGAAGAGTCAATAAAAATTATCCAATCAATCTTGGTATTCTTATAATAGACAAACATTACTTATAAAGAAATATCACAAATCCTTGACTGATACAGAAATGAGCAAAGATGGTGAATAGGACAGTTTTCTAACAGATGATAACTCACTAAAATAGATTTTCTAAGAAAAAATATTCATTATAATTGAAGTTAAATTAGTTAAATAAAAAAGTTAAATTACTATTATTTACAAGTATTAATATTAGTTTAAAATTTCAAATATTATGTTTGTCATTTTTATCAATTTTGATATATTATATGTATACTATGCATGTTATTTCATAGTTAACTACTATAGTTATATATTTTGTAGTTTCTTTTGGACAACTACCCTAATACGTATCCAGTATTACACTATAAATACCCAAATAAACTTTATGATGTTCTTAATTAGCATGAAACTACATCTAAGTACTTTAAAAACAACTGTGCTTTATCTTTCCATATTATTTAAAAGTTGTACTTCATCATATGACATATTTTTCTACAATAACTTCCTTAACTTTAATATCAATTGCATGAATATCTGTACAAACTTCTTTCTTACTTTTGTTGTTCTAACATCTTTTGTACTTGAGGAGAGTTAAGCTTAACACTATCTGGAAGGTTTGATGTCATCCATGGTGTATGTTCTCGCTTATATCGACTCTCTCTTTCTTGTTCTAATTCCTCTTTCATTCTTGTTCTTTCAACAATAAGATAGGCAAACTGCTCACTAACACCCAAGTTTGCAATTTCAGAGAGTCCTTCTTGGATTAACATCTGTCGTATTTCACGGCTCACAATTTCCCCATTTTCTCTGTCTTCTAAATCAAGTTCATCTCGAAGTCTTTTATTTTCTTCTTCTAGTTCATATATTTTTTGATCTGACAACTTTCTTATACGTTCAACATAAATGTCAACTTCCTGTGTAAACATAAAAGCACAATGTTTTTGTAATTGGAACATATCAAAGTTACTAATGTCACAACAAATAAATTTGATCTAAAGATTTTTGACAAAAAAATGATGAGGTAGTGAGCAAATATTTATTTATTTTTGTTAAAAAGCATAAAACAATTTTTTTTTAAATATGGTTCAAATTTAAACAATTCTGTTGCTTACACTAGCACGCCAAGGGCACTTTTTTACCTACCATCAACTCAAAATAAGTACTTCTGGCCTTTCCAAAATAAGTCTCCAAAAATAGCTGAATCTCAGTACAGTGTAAAGAGCTCTACTTAATTCATTTACCACAAACAATTAATTATGTTTACATTCATTATCAGACAGAAAAACAAACTGGAAATGATGCTGTAGCAATAATTCTCAAACAATTGGAATTGGTTCAAGATCAGATTATGAATTTTTTAGATTAAATTCAAATCAATTCTATAAAAATTAAGAGTCACTAACAGTCAATATCTTCTTTTGGTGTAGCCTAAGATTCACAATTAGTTGTAGTTTCAGCTCAATTAAGTCATCAATCAATTATATAGTCTTCATAATAGTACCTAAATTATAATAATTGTTAGACCATTGAAAAATTCTATAGATTATGAAAACAGCAAATCAATAAAAAAATCTAAGAAACAACACCAATAAAAAATAATTGCTGTATGGTGAATAAAAATTTTCTTTACTCTTAATGATGTTGTAATGACTTGCAAAAGCTTAGTCTTGATATATCTGTTTATAGACACTTTTTATTCTCTATGATGGCAGACCACCAAATTCTGTGAATAAAAATGTCAAGTGTGAAAACTTTATAAAAATGTTTTTGTTTTTAGAAGGCAATTGTTTTCAATATTCATAAGAAGTTCTTGGTCATGTTCTCTATGATTTCTATGTCAGTTATCTTATGTGAAGGTTGGTTTTTGCCATTATATATCAACTAGAGACAAACTGTGTAAATACTGTCACCAAAAGAAGCAAAGAAACTCAAAGTCAATTTTATCCTATTCTCTTACAGTTTTTAAATACAAGTGTTATAACTGTCAGGATTCCTACTCGTATTATGATATTTTTTAACATCTTAGGTTACCACCAACAGGCTGCAATAAGCCAAACTTAAAGGACCTGAGAAAGTATGCAAGGTTTTGAAACACAAATATAATAATGATCTATTTTTTTGTTACAGGTGATCAAAATTTGAAATCATGTAACACAAACATGGTCATAGTGATAGATAAGCAAACTATGATATATAAGCGTAAAGAAAAGTTTTGTTGATGGTGTAACATACTACATGATCATAGTGGTTACAAGACACCTATTCTGAGTATAGAAATAGTTTGTTTTTGAAATGTTTGCAGACTAACACTATCCATATTGTATAAATTTTTACCACAGTTTTACAGTATATGTGCCAAAAAAACAAGAATTTCTGTTCTCATGATAAACAGTTATATGGAACCCTCTGCTGTATCAATTGAGCCTCTATTTTGTAACATGGCCAGTCAAAACGTGTTTATGTCAAGCACAATGGACCACTGACCCCAAGAGTAAGGCAGTGGTTCCCAAACATTTTTCATTGATGACACCCTAACTCACCTTGATTTGTGTGACACCCCCGCTGCCATATCCAATATATTTTTTAGTTATTTTTTTTATGTTCTTAAATTGGTGAACTCTTGTGACCCCCCTGCTGCCACATCCAATATTTTTTTTAGTTATTTTTTTATGTTCTTAAATTTGGTGAACTCTTGTGACATCCCCTAGCAACTTGCTGCAATACACAGTTTGAAAACCACTAGAGTAAGGTATATTACAGGACAATGCAGCATCATCAGCCAGTAAGGAGATTACTGGAGAAAGTGGCCACAGGTGTGAAATTCCCACGTTATTATTGTATGTAAATAGTAGCAGACTATTCAAACCTAACCAAATGAAACTCTTTGTAAATAAGTTTAGTCCTTTTGTTTGAAAACCACTAGAGTAAGGTATATTACAGGACAATGCAGCCTCATCAGCCAGTAAGGAGATTACTGGAGAAAGTGGCCACAGGTGTGAAATTCCCACGTTATTATTGTATGTAAATAGTAGCAGACTATTCAAACCTAACCAAATGAAACTCTTTGTAAATAAGTTTAGTCCTTTTGACAAACCTTGTAAATACTAGGTAACCATGAAACTATACATACTATAACACTAAATTTACAAAGTGTACCTTCATAATATTTCACTTGCTTACAAGTATTACAACTGTTATACATGAAAAATCAAATTTCTAATAAGGTATTTTTACTAGAGATTCATCTGTAAACTTATGAAGCCTTTACTGAGTCAGTCTGAGTGAAAGGTGATTTTCATGAGAATAAAATACCTCTTTTTCATCATAGTTTTCATATTTCACTCAATAACGTCTAGAATTTCCTAAATGAATATCAAAAATTACTTTTTGGTAAAAAGTTTTTTTATACTCAATCTCTTATTTTCTCTACCCTAACACTAACTGCAACAAAATCATTTGTATCAAAAAGTGAAAAAAATCAAAAAAGACAGAATATAGGAAGGCCATGACATTTGGGTTGAATGATTATAGTAGTATATCAGGAAAGCATCAAGAGGTTGAAATTCTATATTCTGGCTTGTTAACATCTACAGTATGCATTTCTAATTGGTTGAATAATCTGAAACCTTTTTATGGGAAGAGAAAAAATCTATAAATGAAAAGTTATAGCACCCTCACGTTATGAGACTCAAAAAGATGCATACTGAGAATTTATTAAAATATTTCCTTTTCAAAATAAGACTTGGGTAGTTTATAATTCAAATTTTTAAATTACATTTTAATTCTAAGTTTATTAATGTAAAAATTATAATAAATAGTTGAATTAAGGTTATAAATGTAACTGTAAAAAAAAGGTTTCGATTTGTGCAGTTCAACCCACCGATATCCATAGTGGTAGTTATAATTTTCAATGGTTACATTAAAGCAGGAAGGTAAAATCTAACATGAAATACCACAGTAAGAACTATAAAACACACAGGATATGCTTCAAGTTTGACAGAAAATCATACATAGATAGTTGAATGTATTTCTTAAGCTTCTTTTCATTCAATGAAATGAGGCTTTTGTTTGTTTCTTTATCATTTAGAACAAAAACATTGGATTGTGGTTTATGAAAATATTAGCTTTGAAATGTTTGCAAAATAGCAAATAAGATACATTCTAAAATACGGTCTTTATTGAAGAATCAAAGAATGAAACTTTTGCCCAAAATACATTAAAATTGTTCAGAAACATTTCTTTAATGAACTTGTTTGACAGCTACAGACTTTCTTTGTGGAAAAAATGTATGGTGTTTGAGTTATTAAACAGTACTTTACTAACAAGCATGCAAGAAGTCTGAGGCTGAAATCATAGCAGATATGAAAAAAAAATTACTACAGATAAAAACTAGTGGTCAAGACTGACCACATCCTGCTGGTTTATTAAAATTACAATAAATCTGAAATATGCAAGTTTTAATGGTCTGTAAGACCATCTGTTATATGCATTTACTATTTTACATAAATAATAAGTTTTAAACATGGCTAATATTGTCTTAGTTGTTTTCAACAAGAGGAACATTTGAGTATGTCAAAGTTGTCATCATATGTTACATACCTTGCTTATTATTCTTTAATAACTTTTGTAAAATAACAAAATATTACATAATGTATACTTATGAAAACATATATATTAATTCTTATGAGTAAACTACACACAGTTCCTCTAATAAGAGCCTAAAAAAATACCTCAACTAAATTAACTACAGAAGTGATCTTAATAGGCACACCTTCAGTTCCTCTCCTTGTTGACGACGAACTTTGTCCAGTTGATGACGCAGTGATATACAGTTAGTTTCAGCATCCACAAGCCACCTCCACACATGTACTAGTTTTATATGATCTGGTAGCTTATGGTCAAGGCCCTCTTTATGAAAGCGTTCAATAATTTCAGTTCTTTCATCATCGACTGCCTATGTTACATAAAAAATCTGAACATTAATTAAGTTTTCAAGTGAAATAAAACAGCAGACATTATAACAGTACTAATATGCTAAGTTACTATTTTATATTCTCCCTCATCAGAAAGATATCAGCTTATCATAGGATATGTAATTTTGATGTTGCTCACCATAGGACTAATTAACCAAGAATCATGACAGTTGTTAACTTAATTATAAAGTATTTCATAAATACAATAACAGTAATAAAATGATCATGAAATGGTAGCTCCAGTAGACATAGACCAGACTATAACTGGCTATAATTTCCTGCTTGATATTCAACATCTTTCTGTCAGTCAGTCATTATGTATTTTATTGTAATTTTTCTTACAATGTAGTTGTGACCTACTACTGCTTGAATGTTTAAGGGCCTTGTGTACAAATAATGAAAGGTGTTTAATATGATAAATCTTTGCACGTGTTAAAATACTCCTGCAGTCTTCATCTATAACTTGTTATACAGAAAAGTGACATCCTGCACAAATTTGGACATCAAGATTAGCACCTTAACCTATGGAAGAGTGATGCCCTATATGGTAAGGTCAGGTGAAAAGAATTTCTTCAGACTATGAAGAACTACACTCTTTTATGGGTGGACTGGAGAATCAGCAGGGTACATTAGGTAACTTTAACTAAATTCAGTATCAGAGTTTGAGCAAAGAAATGAACAGATTTGACACAGAATGAAGCACAGAAACAGAGTATATGTTCTTTCTTATGGATGTCAGATGGTTACCTTTCACTGCATTCATGAATTGATTGGACTAGCTTTTTCCATTGAGAATATTCCAACTAATTATTTTACTCAAAATCCAGTGCATGAATGTTTAAATCTCACTTTTCTTAACTCCTTCTGAATACAGTGGGTCAATTTGACCCACTATTAGAAGTGTGAAACTATACATACTACAACTCTAAGTTTACTAAATGTATCTTCAAGCTTTTAGTATATATTACAAATCTATTGTCTAACCTATATAAAGGTCAGTGTGTTTCACATCACACTTGATTTCTCGAAATAGGTGGAGTCATAAAAGCCAAAATGCATTTATCCAGATAGAATAGTTTGATTACTGTCTGCCCATTATGATTTTAGAGACAGGGGTGCAAGGGGAGTGGGGGGGGGGGGGTGCCATGAATTCTTATAAGTGTAGTCAGTGTTGGTATACTAAGCCTGAAGTAAAGACATAGTGTTAGATCAATTAGCCTAGAGCCAAGTGCATAAAATTTATCATGAAAGTAAAAATATTGATATAATTTTAAACTTAAATCATTTCTGAATTAAGCTATTTTCTGTTATTTCACCAATGTTTTTAATAAAAACAAACCTCTTTAATAAATGGAGATTCCAAATTAAGAAATCAACAAGTACTTTTCCAGTTTTGTTGTCTATACATTTCATTTTCATACTTTCAGTACATAGACTAACAACAATATTAGGTTATACTTTTGTTGCTAAGTAACATAACATGTATATTACAAGCTGTTAATCCAACTGATTTTTAACAGTAATTATTCTATCAATACACCACAAATTCATTTCATGAATGATCTTAATTTTGATTGGCTCACAAAGTAATTTACTGATGTTTGGTTGCCTCGCCTGCACTTTTCTGCCTCTTTTGTTGGTCAAGCTTAACTTCACAAAATTTATTTATTTCAGTTAGCTATGAAATGTGAGGTTAGGGTATAATATGGGGTGGAGGGGATTGTACTT